AACGCAAACCTCAAAAAATAAAAACGAAACCAAAAAAGCCCCTCAGACCTGCCAGCACAGCCAAGGGCTACATGAGATCTTCGGCGCCCCCGGGAAAAGTAGGTCAGCAGAGGCTCCGCGCAGGAGGATGCGCAGAGGTTTTCCTTTGGGCTGCCCTGGTGTCTGGTTCTGCCACTCACGCCCATGCAGTCTTACTTTTTCCATTCCTTCTCGTGCTCGCTCTGGCTCTCTACACCCAGGCCTAATTTCCCGGAGATGGTGCCTGGGCCGGGCATGCGCGGGTACGTGTGCATGTGCATGCCTGTGTGTGAGCGTGTGTGTGTGTTCTGGTGTTAGCATCTTCTCTCCATCAACACTTTCCCATTACCTTAGACCAGTGGTCCTCAAACTTGAGCTGCACCTGAATCAGCTGGAGGGCTTGTTAAAACACAGGTGGCGGGGCTCTGTCCCCCAGCTTTCTGAGTCGCTAGCTCAGGGTGGGACAGAGGATTTATTCGCATCTCTAACAAGCTGCTGGCTGACTCTGACGTTGCTAAGCAAGGGACTGGTTGGTTAGACCAGTCTGACTCAGAGACTAATCTGAGCTAAGGTGACCTGTCACGTTGTCGGAAAAGGTTCCTGGACTTAAAGTCGCAAGAAGAGCCAAGGAGAGTATGAGCTCTAGTCAGACGACCAACTAGCTGTATGAACTTGAGCAAGTCCCTGGAGCCCAGGGGTTCTCTATCTTGACCACACTTGGGGATCAGCGGGCAACCTTTTCTAAAGGTGATGCCAGACCCCACCCAGGATGCACTGAATCAGAATCTCGGGGCATGACCCCGGGGCATCGGTGTGCTGTGAAAGCTCCACGGGCATCTCTCCTGTGCTTTACCCTCTCTGGGCCTCAGCTTTGCCGTCTGAACACCAAAGCGTGTCCACCCTGTCTTTGCCTAACTGTAGAGATTTGCACCCAGCTTTATGAAAAGCTCACCAAAACTACCCGGAAGCAGGGTCCCTTTGTCCACGCTTTGTAAATCCCAGGGCTCCCTTCTGCACCATTCGAGTGGGAGGGGACTGCCGCCGCGCCCCACCCCTGCACACGCACACCCTTGGCAGCCACCGGAGACACAGAGCATCACGCGGCAGTGCGGTGGTGAGCGGGACGGTTTGGGGGCTGAGCAGTCGGACTTAAGAGACCTCATGCCAAGTTGCTCTCCACCTGGTTTCTCTGGACAGGCTCCTTCGGGGACGCAATCACTGCAGCCACTGCTCGCTCGTCCCCTGGAAGTTCCCCCTTAGAGAATAGAGAACTCTGGATCTTAGAGCTGGAAGTCAACTCAGGCGGTCTCGCTCGGACCTGGCACCTAAGGTAAGTGCTCAAACCTCACTCTGCACACAAACCCCCCACCCGCCCCACCCCGGGGAAAATGCAGATTCTGGCTCAGCAGACCTGAGCGGGGCTTGGAATGCTGCATTTTTTTTTTTCTGATGTAATAAATATAGAATTTATGATCATTTGGTTAAGAAATAGGGCTAAGGTTTATCTTCACCTATTAATCACAAAGTATTTGACTAAGATAGGAAACAACATGAAACTATTTAAGTTGTTAAAATTAAACATTTTTAAAAAAGATTTTATTTGAGGTGAGGGGAGGGAGGGTGTGCGAGCAGGGGGAGGGGCAGAGGGAGATGGAGAGAGAGAATCTCAAGCAGGCTCCACACTCAGCATGGAGACCCACTCGGGGCTCGATCCCACGACCCTGAGATCATGAGGGCACGTTTTGAATGGAGCCCTGGGTGTTACACGCAAACAACGAATCATGGAATGCTGCATTTCTAACCAGCTCTGGCGACGCCGAAGAGGCCAGTCCCTAAATACCGTTCTGGTTACCAAGTGGAAGGTCCCAGCTGCACAGATGATGTGCTGGACATCCATTAAAGGTGACTCACGTCTCCCAGGTCGTTCAGTTCTGCAAAGAAACTAAGAAGGACACTTCCTGGACCCTCACGCTCCCGCCCCCATAGCAGTGCTCCCCAAGGACCAGTCTTTGGAACCCCGGTCCCAGGAGAAAGCAGTTCCCAGTTAGCCACAGAATCCACTCTCGTCCTCGGGCACCTAGCAGCATCGTGCGCAAGCACGGGATTCTGGGAGCACTTTAGCAAGCGCGTCCCCACTGCAGGCGGACCTACTCGTTCTCCCCAGTTCTCTCCGCACAATTGAGACTCCTGCCCCACGGAGCAGCTGGACGCTTGGCAACTCCCCGGAGAAGGTAAATCACCCACAGCCATTGCCGGAAATGCTCATCTTTCTGGGGACGGACTGAAGTTTGAGAAATGTCAGAAAAGGAAACTAGTCCATCGAAAGGCAGCTAGCTCCAATTTCCGCTTGGGTTAGTATTGGCTGGGAACAGGTGGGAGCCCCGAGTGAGTGTGAAATGAACACGGAGCCCCGCAGAAGGAAGGAATGTTCTACCAGCAAGCATCCTCTGGACTCGACCTGTCACAGGCAGCCTGTGGGACGGGAGTTTATGTATGTGCTTCCAATTTCTCTGACAGAATCTGTTTGGATTGAGGGCGGCTGTTTAATCTTTGGAATATGTGTTCCGTAACAAATGCTGGAATCACATCGAAATTGCTCCCTTCGCTCTGTGAGCCAAACCCTGACTAAAGGGGTTTGGAAATTCCCACAAGGTGCTCTTTGCTTATTGCTCATTCGCAAAGAAAAGACCATTTCTTTAATGAAACGCAATGTTGAGGAACTGCCAAGAATAGATGCTCCCTATCTGCTTTCACATATGGTAGCTTCTTTCTAGCCAATTAACTACCAATGAACTGGGGACGAGCTGTAACAGGTGTGCCGGGCTCCCCTGCGCTCGGCCAGAGCACGTTGCCCCAGGAGGCCATGGAAGTTTCTGGTCCCGTCTCAATTCATGAAAGCCCAGGAAGAAGCCTGCCTGACCCAGCCGTTTATTTGCGAAGCCATTCTGGTTAGCTCTAGCTAAGCTCCCAGAATTAAAACTGATGGGTTGTCACCTTTCGGACAAATTCTGTTTGTTCATTCTCCCCCTCTGGTTTTTAACTACATCGTGTTGAGGGGAAATAGCCAAGGCCCACAGAAGGCTGGGCTTTCATGACTTTTACTAATGAGACTTATTTCTACATTAACACCACGCTGGAGAGATTTTTCTGTCTGGAGGTGCAGTGGTATTGGGTTTTATGTTGTCTGAAAAGAAGCAAGTTACACACAGTCTCGTGTTTCGTGAACTCTTGCTCCAAATTTTAAGCTAATCAATAGTTCAGTATCCATGCATATTTATGCTTTCCTGCTCTCCGAGCCGATACAAAGCTACAGAGAAATGGAATTTCTTACCAAGTGATTTCTTTCCTAATAATGTACCATTACTTTGGAGTCAATGAGGCTTTTTTTTTTTGGACATTCCTTAAGAGATCTGAGTTTTTGTTTTGTTTCCTTTCGAGTTTTTGGAAATGACTGCAGATAGAGCTGGAAAGAAGGCCAATTGGTTAGCCCGATCTGTTACTCATTTTAGGGGTCTTACAATTCAACTGAAAACAACATAAAATTAATTTCCAACTAATGCCACCTGGAGGGCTTCATAATGTGAAATGGTCCATGCCAAGTGCCTTATGTATGGTGTCTCTTGTTGATTCTCACAGCCACGCTGCTGGTCAGGAGCAACAGCTCACTTGACAGAGATGGGATAATCCAGGCTCAGAGAGGTTCAGTCCCTTTGACAATGTCACACAGCCAAAAGGCAGTGGAGCTGGAATTCAAGTGCAGTCCTATCACTAAGTCAGCATGACTCCCTGAAAACTCACTATTGAAATTCTGTCAGAATGTTGATTGTTTGCTCTTAGGGTATCATTAGGCCATGGAAGTTTCCAGGCAGGGCTTTAATACCACTGATATGCGCCAATGGCTTGACCTAGGTCTCCAACCTCAACGATTCCCCGGAACTCTGGACTTCGGTGTCCAACAGAGCTCTCCAATGTAGCATTTCGCCTAGTCTCGCCCACGCCAGTGAACGGCAACGTAGTCGTACCATTTTATATCCACTCCACCGGCAAATCTGTTGGCTCTACCCGGAAATATGTCCAGAATTCAAGAGCTTCTCTGGGACAAGCCTCCATCATAACTTGTGTACTTGAAATAGCCCCCTAGCCAGATTCCTGACTTCCAGTCCCGCTATACAACAGCCAGAACGGTTCATGTACAATGCAAGTCAAAGCACGTCCTTCCTCTAAATTCCTTGTCTGTACCTGGCCCTGTGAAACTTGGAAGCATCTGCTTATATTAGCCTCCCACCGAAGGAAAAACAAAACCAACTTCAAATACCCCACACTCTCTCCGCAAGCACCACCCATCCCGCAGCCACTCACCCCTGGTGGGACCCCAGGAAGTTAGGCCTGTTTCCACCTCAGGGCATTTGTATTTGCTGGCCCCTGTGCTGAGGACGATCTTCCCTAAGCTGTTCCCAGGCTGGCTCCCTCCCCCAATTAGAAGGGATTCCTCTCACTGCTTCTTCTAGATCGTCAGAGATGTGGGCATTCTCTGTGTTTTTTCCTTCATATTTTTGTAAAGTTGAAAATTAAAAAAAGCAACTGGTAGGGAAGGACATGATTTAAGCTCTTGTGATTCCCGAAGTCATAGATTAAAAAGTTTGAAGCGGGGACAGAATTAATGTTAGACCATGGCCCAAGCTGTCCTGCCCAGCCTCTGTGCACAGGGCAGAAACACAGATGGCCCGGGGACAGTGGTCCTGCCCCATCCTTGGACTTTTTATAGCCCCAGTCTGAACTGTTATTTGGCCATCACCCACCAGGCTAAGATCAAGGGATTTTAAAGCTGACCAAACTGACGTTACCATCTTGCGTGAAAATCTTAAGAATCAGTCTTTAACTTCCCCGGATACTTGAGCCGTCATCGGAATCAGGTTTCCAGAGGTTCTGCTGGGCAGAAACATGCTGCGAAATCAGTATCTCTTCCATTTACAACATGCTTCTTGAGGACTGTGCTTGTTTTATTTTTAAAAGTAAAGTTCAAACATTTAATTTTTAATAAGGTGCCAATGTTTACACAGAAGGTTACAATTAAAAAAAAAAAACCACATTGCTATGTGGCTGTTCCAACACCAAATGCGAATAGATCTCATAAAAGTCTCATGTAGGCTCATTCCCAGCACACCTAGGACGGCAAATAAATAGTTATTACTACACCGGTGAAAATGGAGTCTGGTTAATGTTCCCAAGTTAGATACACATGCTCCCCCCTCCCCCATGTAAATCATTTCAAAGCCTCGGAGCGGAGGGTGATAAAACCCTGCCCACGTGAAATTAAAATGAAGGCATACTATTACAATTATGTAACTCGATAGTGCTCCTCCTTGCGTTTCTCATCGTTTCCAGCTCGGCATCTGATAATGAGTACTGAGCAGATTTGCACATGTTGATAATGGGAAGTAACCAGTTCTCACCTAAGCAAAACAAATTTTTCAGTTTCTGTGACTTCTTAGGGCCAAAAATAGATCTACTGAGATGTCTTCTCCTTCGTAAGGGTTTTGGGAAGTACTAAACAGAGGTCTTTGAGATTGCCTGGTGGTGAGTAACAGCAAACACTGAATAGTGATTTGCCTCTAACACATTTACCTTTCCATTAATGCCATGCGCCCATCTGCAGTCCCAGGGGATGCGCTGAAAAACGCAAGAAATTTGAATGTCCCTTTCGGGATACTCCTTATTTGGTGTCTGTCCTTCTACAACACATTTCCTTCGTAGCAGAGAGGGAGAACAAGAAATAGGTTGATGTGCCTCGTCAGAGAACTCCTTTTCCATTCTTCATTTATGTTTATTTACATAAAACACTGATTCAGAAAGAATCCAGAAAGTTCTACAAAAGTCTAAAGGCTTTGGTTCTGGAAAAAGATAAAAACACATTATTCTGAGAAATGTTTATTTTACTTCTACATCTCACTTCTACTCCTCTTGCTCATCAGATCACCAGGTAAAGTGGATGAAGTTCTACACGTGGACACAGCAAATACCTTCAGAATCCCTACCCGCGAACTTTCACAAGAAAGAGTGACAGAGCTCGGGAGCCTGTCCCCCATCGAGTTGGTCTGCGACCCCAGGCCTGTGGGCAAGTGGACCACAAAGGGGAGTTAGGGCTCTAGAGGAGAAAGGCAATCAACTCCCCCATCCTTGACCTTCACCTACCTGTCTGACCCCGGCCTTCTGTCGCCAAGAGCCCGAACCCCACAACAAATGAGAGGTTTGACTTATGAAGGAAAACAAGGTTATCTGAGTCAAGTAGCACTCAATGGTTTCCCATGAATCTGTGGACTTCTCTACACTAAGCACTGGGGAGAAGGACACAACACAACACCCCTCGGCGACCTTGGCCTGGAGTAAACTGTCCCTTCATCCCTCCATGGCATCGGCTGGAGGAGGAGGAAATTCTGTGGTTTCACTGACCTTTGGCTATCTGTTCACTTGTTTTGTGTTCCCTTCTGAAGCTCCTTATTTCAGCTAAAGGGCGTCCCGGATTATATAAATCCAGGCTATGACTAATAGTCTTTTGCGAGGCCACGTGGAAGTTAAGAGGGAACTACATGAAGCAATCTTTAAGACCTTTTAGGATTTAAAGTCCAGAAGAATCCAGCTTCACTTGCATGTGTTCCATGGAAACCCCAGTAACAACACTAATATTAGTATCTGTTACTCTATACTTACATGCCGGGAACGAGACACGAAGACTGAATTCTCTACTACTGACTGGTATTTCCACAATGAAGTGGCTCTTTGATATTTTTGGAGGAGGCCAACCAATCACAGAAACAAATCTTCCAGAGTTTGCCAGCATGGTCTGACTTAACTTTTTTTTTTTTTTTTTAAAGATTTTATCTATTTATTTGAGAGAGAGAGAGAGAGAGAGAAAGCACATGAGAGGGGGGAGGGTCAGAGGGAGAAGCAGGCTCCCCGCCTAGCAGGGAGCCCGATGCGGGACTCGATCCTGGGACTCCGGGATCATGACCTGAGCCGAAGGCAGTCGCCTAACCAACTGAGCCACCCAGGTGCCCTGACTTTTTAACCCAGAGAACATGTCAGTACATTTTCTTATACCAACTAGAAGTTTCTAGGTTTTTATTAGGGCTAAGAAATGATGGCTTCTGACTGGCAGTTCTAGGTCAAATCTGACAGAAGGGGTGGGAAACTATAAGGTGAGAAGAGAGTGTCTAGAGGCTTTAGCAAGAAAGAGGGTAAGGAGGACAGGAAGGACGACGACAGGGACACGATGATGGCACCCAATCCAGTGGACAGCATTCCCTCCCCAGGACCAACCCCCCTTCCTTATTAACAGAATCTAAATCTCATTCAGAGAATAATATGTCTAGCTAAAAACCTTCCTTCCCACATTCACATGCAGCTAAGGGGAGTCATGTGACAGAATTCTAGCCAATAGATGCAAGCTGAGCATCTCTGGGAAAGTTTCGCTTTCCTGATACGGGCACTGCGCCTTGTTACAGGCCTCTTCCTCCCTCTTCCTGTCTAAGAAGCAGACATCCTACCTGGCAGCTCAGTAACCACATTGTGGCTCAGAGGCAATGGGCCAGAGGACAAAGGATGGCAGAAAACAATACCAAAGGGCATGAATCCTTGATGATAATACAGAGAGAGACGAGAGTGCCTGACCCCCGGGTTTCTCATTCAACTCTCCACTGTCTGTTGGATTTTTCCATTATTTGCCACCAAACGCACACCTGCTACGTCAACATCCGGTAACAAGGCTGCAAAGGGTGAGGGCCTCTCAGTGGGCTGGGAAGAGCCAAGACTGATGTGAGGGGCAAAGTGGGAGCAATCATACTCACACAGATCACACCGTGGACCTAAACCACAGCGACGTGCCTTCTCCCAGAAAAGACCGAAGTCCTGACTAAAGAGATAAATGCACCATAAGTTCAATACAAAGATGCCCAGTGCTCAAACTGGCTATGATTTAACTCTGCCCTCTGTGCTTTGCGTACGAGCATGAAAGTGCATGCTTAGACATTAAAGCCGGACGTTTTACATCCTACGGAGAAGATAATGGAACAGATTTAGAATCAATTTAGTATTTCTCTTGCAATCCATTTGGAGGAGTTCCCACTGAGACTTCGTATGCCTCACCCTCTCTGCAGCCATATTTAATAAGATCTGAAAGGAAAAGTAAGTAGTAACACCGGGTGGCCTGTTTTGACCCTCACGTACGCTATCTGGAAATTAAAGCACACTTACGACAAGCTGGCAGCATACAGGATATGGCCCATGGAAAGTGCTGGACTGCTCAGTATTTAGGAATGCACGGGCAACAGCAATAAACAGGTGAAGCACATGCAACACGTCTGCAACACAACGAGCAGGTGTGTATACCCTCAAAATCAGGAGGAATCCCTTTGTGTGGGAGGAAATACGGGCAGCACTAAACATGCCAATAGTTCATTATGCAGTCCCAAGATGCTGGTCTTGCACAGAGAAATGATTTCTTCATACTCATCACTGCAGGAGACCCTGGATGTTGGTTCGGAAACTGATGGAGAAGCAAAACACTAGGCTGAGAACAGGAGCAAGAAATTGGATGGTCGTGAGTGAACCAGCTGGCAAAAAACTTTCAGCTTTCACTATGTTCCAATTTAATTTCTCTTGTCTTTTCCAACAAAGTAAGTGCGAATATCTTTAGTCCGATTCAGTAAAATAGCAGCAAAACTTCAGGAACCGATAAATAAAAGATGCTAACGGGCCAATACTCCTTTGCCTTTTTGGACTCAAAGCTTCACAAACATCAGCCTTAAACACAAGGGGCAAACGTTTCTGGACTCAGTTCCGTGTCCTTGGACAAACCACATCGTTTACACCCACCCCCATGCCCCCATGGCAGTTAATAAACTCATTAAGAAACACAGCTGGAAACTCACAAGGGGTTAAAGCTACAAAATGCCTACTCATTGATGTCTTTTTTTAAAAAAGGTTTCATCCTTCTTCCTTTCCAAACAAAGCTTTTGTTTCCACTGCCCCCAGCGTACAATCGTTCATTAGAATAATAACATATCATCTGTTTATTTCTTTTAAAATGACACAGTTGAGTTTTTCTCAAAATAAATGCCACCTTGTTTCTAATTAAACATGATGGATTCAGGGTCCTGGTTCGCCATCTGGGCCATATGTCTCAAAACATCCTTTTTCGTGATGATGCCAAGAAGTCTCCTGGAGAAGAAACAAAACAGAGAACAGGGGTCAGCTCTGCAATATTGACTCATGCCTGCCCTAACCCCAGGGCTTTTCTACCTGGATGCACAGCGAGACATTTCCCAGCTTTCCTTGCAGTCGGGTGGGGACAACTGAGCGAGCTCTGGCCAACGGCATGTAGGTAGAGAGGGGAGATGCCCCTCCCGGGTCACCTGCACATTTCCTGACACTGTCTCTCAGGTGGCAAGCAGAGGCAGAGGAGCCAGTGAAGGACTCTGAGGTCACAGGGGACTGACTTAGCAGCCACCAGATTCAAAGACCTGGGTCCTTGGATGACTATGTGGTGCAGAGCCCACGCCTGCTGAAACCCACACTGGATGTGACGTGGGGGGGGAATGAATTGCTCTTGTGTTAGGGCCACTAAGATGGCAAGCTTGTTAATTACCGCAATAAACCTACGATGACTAATACACTCTCCTAAATTTCAAGACTATAATCAATTGAGAAAGGGCTTGTGAAAGCCATTGTCGAAACTGGACCACATCACAGAAATTGCAAGTATAAGGTATTTTAGGTAGAAGATAACAACTGGTCCTATTTTAAATCTATCATACTGGATGGGTAAAGTTTGACATTCATATCTCTGGCCATACACGTGAATGACCTCCTCTTCCAAAATTCCACTGCTTTCAACTTGCAAAAACAAGGCCTCTTCCCAAGGTTCCTTATGTAAGGCCCCCTAGACTACACATTGCACAACCCCAAGGAGCGCCGTGCACAAACACGACAATGTAAAGAGTGCCCTGGAGTGTGTAGAACACACGGGCACAACCGTTCCCAGCAGCCCTTGCCTCAATCTCGATTTTATTAACTACTTAAATGACCACCTGCTGGTACAAATCATGTCCCCTCAGTAAAGTAAAAGGTTTGAAAGAAGCGGATGTGCACAGCTTCTTTGGAGAAAGAAAGTTCCACTGGCCAAACGAGTCTGCAAGATGCTGCTCGTCCTGTCGCCAGCACACCCAAGAAAAAAAAGAATGAGAACTAAACAGTGTCAGGCTAACACTGGTATACTGTGTAGCTATTAACACGAAAGATTTCTACTCTGTATCTGTGTAAAATAATGATATGCCCCCACATCAGAAAACACAATCGCAAAACACTGTGATTTATTTAATTAAAGCCAGAGTAGTCAAAGTCATCTCCTGTGAAACAGAAGGGAATATGAAGAGGAAATGCAAGTATTTGGAGCAGTGTTCGACTTGGTTACTTCTGGTGAAATGGATGCTGGGTAGTGAAACTGTCAGGCTAGAATTCTGACTTCTTTGTCCCTGACCACACTGGACCTTAACCAACCCTGAAAAAGTGATTGCTTTCTGGTCTTAGTTTGCCCATCTATGACCCTGGGGGCGACAGCGGGCACTACCTGTTCCCCTCTATCTCATGGGAACATCTGCAGGAGAGAGGAAAATCGCAAAAGGGGACTTGAAAAGCATGGATGTCAAAGCGCTGAAAGCCTCACGACTCTATCGTGATGATCCAAAAATCAGGGGGAAATGTACAAAAGCGAGAGAGAATTAGCAAATCGACATTCTGTAGCCCCCAATATAATAATTAGTGTAGTCAATAATTATCCATGGATTCCAAAACCACTGGGTAAACGGTTGCTGGAAAACAAAAAATTCACCTGGCCTCAAAGGATCCCTCCACAGATTACGTACAGAGAGAAAAATGTCCCTTTACAATGGAGGGCTCTGGCCACCACCCCCTTATCTAAGTGGCAGAGCTAATCACCAACAAAGCTGGGAAAGCTGACATTGTGACATCATCTATGTAAGCATGTCGCCAGAAACCACTTCAACCAAATCAAACCACGGGGAAGCAATCAGATTCAGAATGTGAGACTACTGATCTGGATTCTTAAAAAAAAAAAAAAAATCTGTGCATAAGTAACAAACAAAAAAAAAAGCAGGAAACTGTTCTAGATGAAAAACTAAAGGGGCAAAACAACCAAATGCAATGTGTGAACCCTCAAAGAATTCTGGATTGAAATTTGATATGAATTGGATATTGAATGATAGATTGAGTCATTGTTAATCTTGTATAATTACAGTTTAGTGGTGATATAAAATAATTTCGTTAACTCATAGAAGACATACGCTTGATTCATAGCTGCCAAGGTTTGAATGTCCTTCAGTAGGTGAATAGATACCTAAACTGTGGTCCCTCCAGACAATGGAATATTATTCAGCGCTAAAAAGAAACGTGCTGTCAAGCCATGAAAAGCCATGGAGGAACTTTAAATGCGTATCACTAAGTGAAAGAAGCCAGTCTGAAAAGGCCACATCCAACTCCAGGACATTCTGGAAAAGGCAAAAGTATGGAGACAGTAAAGAGATCAGTAGTTGTCTGGGTCGGAGGGAGGGGAGGAGGGATGAAGAGGTAGAGCACAGAGGATTTTTAGGGCAGAGAAACCACCTGTGTGATACCAGAATGGTGGATGCAGGTCATTCTCCATTTATCAAAACCCACGGAACGTACCACACCAAGGGCGAACCCTAATGTTAACTAGGGACCTGAGTTAGTGTATCAATATCAATTCATCAAAGGCAACAGATAAAACAAATGCAAGATGTTAATAAGGGAAATGGAGGGGACAAGAGAGGGTATATGGGAACCTTGTACTTTATGCTCAATTCTTCTATAAACCCAAAACTGCTCTAAAAAATAGTCTATTAATTAAAGAAAACAAACCCTTGTTGGAGAAAAGTGGCGCCCTGAAAAGAGAGGGGTGCTGGTGCAAAAGGGTAAAACCAGGAACTGCTTTCTGTTCCATCCGTTTAGAGCTACTTGGCTTCAACCGTGTTCCTATATTACTTTAAATACATTTCTAAAATTTATCAAAATGCAGTAAGGTTGAAGAGGTCCTGTAAAACAAGACGCCGCTCCACTACACCAGCCAAGCGGAGTTGGGGTCCTGACTTAGCGCAGCGGCCGTAACGAAGCACCACGGACTGGGTGGCTTGACCACAGAAATGACCGTTCTCATGGTCCCAGGGACTAGAAGGCCCAGACCAAGGTGCTGGCAGGTTTGGTTTCTCCAGAGGCCAAAAGGCTCTCCTTGGCTCGCAGTCCTCACGTGGCCTTCTCCCTGGGCCCACACATCCCTGTTGCCCGTTGCCTCTCCCTGTCCTTAGGACACCAGTCTGATCAGATCAGGGCCCCAGCCTGAGGACCTCATTTAACTCTAATTACCTCCTTAAAGACCCCATCTCCAAACCCAGTCACGGTGGAGTGTGGGGCTTCAACATATGAATTTGGGGGGACGCAATTCAGTCCACACAGTTGTTCCGCTGCATTTAAAATTAAAAAAGGACAGTAAAAAGGCGAGCAACGTGTGCCTGTAATACGCCGCTAAGAGAGCTGGGGTCGGAGGAGAAATGGGAGGCAACGTGAGCAGCGGTGTCCACGGAGCAGGGGCAGCTAAGGGATGGTCCTCTGCGGTGGGGGGGGGGGTGCTCTGCTGCTGGCGATCACCAACTAGCAGACAGCCTCTCAACTGACACCGCTCTTTTGTCCTTTGCCATTTTCTCCTTGAAAGCCCAGCTCGGGACCTTGCCCTCTAGAACACCTGGGTAACACCACCCAAATCGGATTATGTCCGTGTTCCGTAGTAGATGACGAGCTCCTTGGCTTTATTATTTTTTAGACACCTTTTGAGCCTTCGCCAGGTCTCAGCCAGAGACACCCAGAAAGAGGGTGATGAAGCGAATGTTACTTTGAAAAAGTAGGGCTTGTTAGTGTTTGCAAAGCCATGAGGACTCTATCTCACATGCGCGCGCGCGCGCGCACACACACACACACACACACACACACACACACACCTCCCATATCTGTAAAGTCTGGTCTTGTTGCCTTTCTTCACCCTGGAGCAGTCTGGACGACCTCCTATCTTAAAGTTCTGTAACTATAACACGGAAAAGTCAAGCTGCTCGCAACACTTCTGGGGAAATACGAATTCAGAGCACTCTTGGCTTAGAACAATTATTGCAAAAGAGAAAAGCTGAACATCCAGCCGGAAGGAGGCAACATCAAATCCAGCAGAGATCCTTAGTGGTGGGATGTGTCCTATTAAATCAAGTGTCTGAACTTCCGGCCCCTTTGGGTGGCAGTTCAAGTGAATCGAGGGAATGATAAACGGCCAATCTATGACCATGTACATATCCAATTAGAATAGCCGGGCTCTTCTGAGAAGGCCACCCCGTCTAAGTCCTGGGGGCCCACCTAGCAGGCCTGGGGAAAGCTAACTCAACCTCCCCCGCCCGCTTTGCCGGTCAAGAATCTCTGTGGGGAAGATCGCACCCAAATGCAGGCTTAGCCACCGGAGGCTCCGTAGACTCGGGGCCTTTGGGGGACAAAGCCTTCTGTGGTTCCTGGTGTGGTTTCACGATGACCTCTGGAGCCCAGGCCCCGAGAAATCCTGCAGACGATGCAGGTCCACAGGACGAGCTGGGGCTCTCGCCGCGAGCAGGGAAGGCACATGGTGACGGAATACATCAAAAACGCAAGCTGGCTCAAGACATGCCTGCCCTGGCTGAAAGCCCGAGGAGATGAAAGGCCTGCAAACAAGGATCCCCTTGCCAGCAGTTACGTATCAGCATCTGTGTTTGTTTAAAATATGTAGAGCGAGAAAGAGTGCGATTTTGTTTTCTCGCAGAACATTCGGAGCCAATTTCGGCACCCTGATCTTCACAGGAAAACCTCATGGGGCTGCGTGAGGTGTGAGCGGGCGTTAAGGGCAGAATTTCCTGCCAGAACTGGAAATTCCAATGATAACTGACATTGGATTATTATTTTAAAGGAAAAGAGAAACTGCTATGCACTTGAGACGCCACGGGTGATCACAGTATTTATGCCGGGCGCTGGAAATTCAGGTATGTAAATGGGCTACAGCGTTTGGCCAAGTGGAGTCCCCGACCAGCAGCAGCACCCGGGAGCTTGCTAGAAATACGGATTCACAGGCCCCTCCCAGACCTGAGGGATCAGTAACTGCAGTGGCCCCAGCACTCTGGGTTTAACCTACAGCTTTAATCCTCTGGGGGAATTCGGCAGCCCACTGAGTGCCTTTAAAAATCACCAGCAGAAGTGATCTCTAGCCCCAAACATGTATTTGTTGCTTACCGATTGTCCCTCCCATGTGCAACACACTCCCCCAGCTGCAGTCAGAGCTGAGGACACCTGTCGTGTGGGCCAGGGGTTCTCTGGGTCAGTGCGCACATTCGGCCCCTTGCACAGCCAGGACAGTAGGAAGGAAGCGAGTGAGTAAGGAGGGCTCACTTGGCTGTTCACGGGCACCTAGTCCACGGTCACTGAGATCCAGAGCGAGTGACCTTCTGGGCCAGTGAGTCTTCGTTGCAATGCGGGCCGTCCCATGCACTGCAGGCTCTCGAATAGCATCCCCGGTCTCTACCCACTAAGTGCCAGGAGCATCCCCTCTCTCCAGCTGGGACATCCAAAATCGTGGGGAGCAAAATCACCCGGGGTTGAGAACTGCTTGGTTAAACTGGAGCATGGGCTCCGCAGTGTAAACTACGTTAGAGAGTTAAGGCCTCGACACAGTTAGAGTGCCAAGGTCTCCACAGCCCAGCCCACCTCTTCCCCTCAGCCTGTAGAGGAATACGCTGGGCGGACAACCCTAGCTTCCAGGCTACCCTGACTGAGCCAGTCTCCTCCTCTACCCAAGCCTCCGAAGCCGTGGGATTCGGGGTGCACCTCTGAGCCCAAAGAAGGGCCCCTGGGGCACGGCACCTCTCAGGCCATCACGAACCCTCCATCTTCGCAATGCTAGTTTCCTGGCTTGTGGTAACACAAAGCAAAAGTAATATTGCCTCGGCAGTGACTAAGCCATGGGGGCCACCAGATCTCCCAGCTCTTCGGGAACGGTTGTTCTGGAAACGTGCGGTTGTTCTGAACAGATCGCTGTATTAGGGAACAATCTGAGCAGAATGTGAACTTCCCATTTGCTTATGGGTCATGTCATCCATGAGAAATTCCAGGTGAATGCAGAAAACTGCCCCCAGCTGAACCCAGGAGCACAGGAATACAGTTGACCCTTGAACAACACGGGTTTGAACTGCATGGGTCCACTTACACGCAGAGTTTTTTTCAAAACATACAGGACAATACCATAAATGTATTGTCTCTTCCTTACGATTTTCTTAATCACAATTCCTCTGGCTTCCTTACTGTACGAACACAGTATGCAATACACTTTCAGACAAAATGTGTGTTCATCCACCGTTCGTGGTATCGGTAAGGCTTTGGTCCACAGCAGGCTACCAGTAGTTAGGTTTGGGGGGAGTCAAAAGTTCCGTGTGATTTCTGACGGCTCGGGACGCTGGAGCCCCCAGCCCAGGGCTCCCCGGGTTCCACCGGACACAGCTCGCAAGCTGCAGCCCTCACGGCACCACCCACTTCTACAAAAAACTTCGGCACTTCTTCAGGGTACAGTCATCTATTTATCGTAGCATTTACATAGCTCTTAACCACTCACCGTGCACAGGCTGTGCTCCGTGTTTTGTTAGGTGCGCCCGGTGAGCGCGCCCTCGTCTTCTCACGAGCCTGGGCCCTTCGCTGCCCGCGTCTGCGTGGCGCCGGGATGTGGAGGCTTGCCCAGATCCCGTGAGAGCACAACAGGCTGTCCCTTCTCCCCGAGCCAAGTGCCACCCGGGGCGGGGGTGGGGGCCGCAGAAAAGCAGCCCAAATCCTTCTCCTTTGGCTCCTCCCCTTTTTGACTCAAGCCTCAGCCTCGGCCCGACAGCAGGCCCCCCGGGAGGTTTCTCCCGCTTTCCCGCGGCACCGGCTGCCCCGCGAGGCCCCCGGGCACGGAGACCGTGACTCATTCATCTTGTTCTCCTCGGAGTCCGGCCAGAGCACTCACCCACTCCGTGTCACCAGGCACTGCCGGAGCCCCAGCTTCCGGAAGATGTCCACCACCGTCTCCATGGGGGTGTGGTCCGTGACCGTGAACGGGCTGAGGTTGAGGACGCGCCGCAGCTTCAGGGGGTGCGGGCTGTTGGCCGGCAGCTCAGGGGGCTCCTCCGTGAAGTACATGATGGAATTGCTCACGATGCCCTCCTGCCTCTGTCTGGCGTTCTCTAGAATGGGTGAGCAGAACAGTAAGCCACACAGAGGCCCTTGCTTAGCAACTCCCTCCAGCCCACACCCACAGGAACATACGTTTTCCCTCTATCCGCATCCTAGAATCCCACAGAGAAGGGGTTCAGAGGGCAAATGCCACGTTCTTAATGAAGGGCTTCAGCCAAACATCTGTGAAATTGTGATCTCTCTTAAGCTAATGCCGTGCAAGGGTCCCCCTGCCGTGACCCAATCGTTCATTGCCAAAGTCTTGACAAGTGGGCCTGAGCAGGGTGACTTCTTTGGGAGAATTTACTGCCTCCTCCTGGGCTCCGGGGCACCCAGAAGGCCCAGGGCCCTCTACTCTTGCTTTCCTAACACTCGCTCACCTCATCATGGGCTCAAGTAGGACAGGACAAGAAACCTCACTTAGCTGCCCAACGACCTCAGTAAGTTGTTTTTCCTTTTTTTTCTTTTCTTTTTTTTTTTTTTTTTTAACAAACTAACCTTTAACTGGCCCAAATGGCATTATGAATCCTGAAAGGAACAAAAACCAATAGGACCATCCCAGGCTCACAGCCCAGAAATGCAGCTTACTCCCAAATATGACCCTTGGGACCAAAGAAATAACTCCAGAAAAGCCACATTCCCCCCACCTCTTGGATCTCCTCTCTTAAAAATGGACCATTTTGTGGATTCCTCAAAGAAAGATAGTAAAACTGTTATGGTAACAATTAGCCTCTTTCTATCTGTAGGCAAGGACATGCAAAAGCAAGCCGAAGAAAAGTAGGGTAACAGGAACTCATTAGAAATACAGCTTTATGCAGTACTAGAAACCCAGGCTATTTTAAGTCACACATGAAATAAATCCATCGGTCTCAAGATATTTCTCCAAGGCGATTTTCCTTCTGTTGGAATTTTAATCTTTCTTTTGGTTCATGGGAAAAGGTTAGGAAAAATGTACAGTGAGGCTTGCCTTAAAATGGATCCTGGTTTCTATAATACATTTCTTGCCTTCTCAAAGACTACTATTCACCGATACTGTTCTTTGAAAAATAAAAATCTAACTGCCTGCTCTAAGGCCGTTTATTGCAATAGAGTACTCTAATGGAAAACTGGCAGCATTCGAGGTCAGGCTGAGTTTGAAAAAGGGTCTCTGTTTAAAAGAGGAACAGTGGGCCCGCTGGGCAAATGCCGGCACATTATGTGGGTCAGGTTAAATGTAGTTACATCAAATGGGATAGGATTCAACCACAAATACCAGATGACGCTGAGGTACAACATGTTTTCAAGTGTGGATGCTATGTGATGCACACCGCACATTTCTCTCCTAAATCAAGATAGTTCCGGCCCAGAGCACTGAGGCGAGGAGGCAACCATCAACACGTACTTAGGCGCTGCTCCTTCTCGCAGACCGAGAATTCTCTAACAGCCCCATGTGACAGGAACCCATCTATTTCAACAATGAGGTCGACTGGATCAAGGATCAGTCTTCATCAGGACTGGATCAAGCCGCAAACCTCAATCAAGAACTGAACACATGATTTGCTGAACCCCTCCTAAAACCAAATACAACTGAGTAAACTGTCGATCCACTTGCCAAAATAAATAACCACCGTCTAGTTCCTCTGAGTCTCCTGATTGGGTTAGAAGCCCTGATTCTACCAGCAGCTAGTTCAGTGATTCCCTGCTCACCAGTACATTTCCAGGGCCTGGACAATGCCTAGTATAGAGTATGCACACAACAGCTATTGGCCACATGCATGCATGCATCAAGCAACAGGTGAATGAACGAGTAGTTCTACTAAACGTCAGCGGACTTGGTTCTGCCTGCCGTGTGGAACAGAGCCTATTTCACGTAGGAGACACTGCAAAGGGAAGCCCACGAGCTGTTCACTGCCGCAAGGAATCGAAGGCCCCAGCTGGGCTCAGAGCCAGAGATGTGGGCCATGTTCCTTGCTACTCCGAGAGTGGTAACTGCAGCTCTCTCTGGAAGGGCTCTGCTAGGCCTCTTTGGAACTCTACTACCAAGACTTACCTGAACGCTCCCAATGGTGGGAGCGGGAGTGCTACATACAGGCCTAAAGCTGACGAATGGAAGAACCAGCAAGAAAGCTTTTTGCCTCTCTCTGCTAGGGTCAAACATCTACTCCCGGTTTGGACAGGGAATCTCCATCGGTCACCACAATGCCTGCGACAAACCACAGCATGTACGCTCACAGAGAGCCGAGCCTGGCTCCTGCCCCGACCCCCCCACCCCGTCCTCCCAGCGACTAGAACAGTGCCAGCACACGGCGGGTGCACAAGAAATAGTTCCTGTAGGAAAGCTTAAGCCAACTCCCCACCCTGGGGATGATCCAGCGCTACAAGAGTGTAGACTCCCAGACCTCAGGGACTCAGGGAAGCCTGTGTTGGAAAAGAAACCCCCCCAAGGGCGCCTGGGTGGCTCAGTTGGTTAAGCGACTGCCTTCAGCTCAGGTCATGATCCCAGGGTCCTGGGATCGAGTCCCGCATCGGGCTCCCTGCTCCGCGGGAAGCCTGCTTCTCCCTCTCCCATTCCCCCTGCTTGTGTTCCCTCTCTCGCTGTGTCTCTCTCTGTCAAATAAATAAATAAAATCTTTAAAAAAAAAAAAAAAGAAAGAAAAAGAAACCCCCCCAAAACGCCCAATGTTTACATAAGTAGAAGACCCAAAAGATAAGAAGGAAATGCACCAAATATTAACCATGGCCTTCTATGCTGTTGGGAAAGTGGGTGCCTTTTTTAATTTTCCCTTTTGCTTCTGATTTCCCCAATATTCTATGAATATGTATTGCTTTTAAAAAACGGGGGCGCCTGGGTGGCTCAGTCGGTTAAGCGTCTGCCTTCAGCTCAGGTCATGATCTCCAGGTCCTGGGATCGAGCCGCACGTGGAGCTCAGAGCTCAGCGCTCAGCGGGGACTCTGCTTCTCCCTCTCCCTCTGCCCCTCCCTCTGCTTGTGCTCTCTCTGTGTCTCTCTCAAATGAATAAATAAAATCTTTAAAACAAGGAGACAGGAGGATGGGTTAGCCCGGTGATGGGCATTAAAGAGGGCACGTTCTGCATGGAGCACTGGGTGTTATGCACAAACAATGAATCATGGAACACTACATCAAAAACTAATGACGTACTGTATGGTGACTAACATAATAATAAAAAAATTTTAAAAATAAAACAAGCAAACAAATAAGAATGTAATAAACTTCATTTTTAATTGTTTTAAAGGTCAGTTAAGCTGTTCTTAATACAGGAGGCTCCTGAAAAATGAGGTACATTTTGTAAGTACCCACTAAGGTACCTTCCACTTTCTAGTGGACAATACGATGGCAACGCCAAGCACAGAGAGGGGAATTAAGAGTGCTGGTAAAGTAAATTTCACAAACTATGACAGACCAAGAAATTTTAAGGCCGGAAATAATCACATATTCAGGAAGCTATTCCCATGGCTTTTAGAGCAATGGTTCTCAACCGGGAGCAATGTTGCCCTGACCCTCAGGGGACATTTGGAAACTTCTGGAGCCATATCTGGTTGTCATACCTGGGAGATGGTGTTGCTTAGTAGCACCTAGTGGTCAGAGACCACACCCTACGGCGCACAGGACAGCCCCCACGGGAAGGAATGATCCGGCCCCAAATGTCAAGAGTGTTAAGGATGAGAAGCTCTACTTTGGAGTCATCACATTTTTAGAGAGAGAATACTCTATCATCCTGTTCATCAAAAATGCTTCCATGTAACAGATGTCATTAACTAAAAATGTTAAAGTGGAAAACTGAAAGCAACTGTAGTGGTGGTCAGTACAAAGAAGACGTGATAAAAATAAAATAAAAACTATTTGGAAGAACAACCAGATGATTTTATGATAAGTTACAGTTTACTGCGGCACGGAAAAGTCCCTCTGTGCGTGTGTTTCAAGCCCCAGCAGAAAGCAGCAGACGACACCACTGTTCTCCGTGCCCTATTCCAATCATGAACAGCCCTCCCAGGAAGAAACCGCTTTATCCCTAAATAGCCCTTCCAACAGATCTGACACTTTGTTCAGTTCTGGACGCAGATCCCTTTCTGCAAGTAAGCATCTTCCACATGCTGGAGAACCATCATTAAATCATCCACCAGACGAAAAAAATGAGGGTTCCCTTAACTCTTGCCTGTGACTCTAACTTTCCATCCCTTTAATCATCTTTGCGGCTTCCCGCTGAGTCCTCTCTGAACCGGTCCTCACCTAATTGCAGAATTCAAGACTAGAAGAGTCTGAGCCCTGCTGAGCACAGAAAGAGCCTCATATTTGCAAACAGCACCGACAGGCAAAGTCCCGTTTACCGGGAATTTGCACATGGGTCACACGTGGCCCCATGTGTCAGAATGTGATGGGGAAGCGTGCCACACGTCCTAGGTGGGGTAACCGCTCCCTAACAAGGACATCGGCTACGGTCTGGTATTCCAGAGATGGCTGGAAAATAACAAAACATTTTCAGCTTCACGTGAGCAGTTGCTACAATTTTTTTTTTATTTTAGATTTTATTTATTTATTTGAGAGAGAGAGAGCACAAGGAGGAGGAAGGGGCAGAGGGAGAAGCAGATTCCCCGCTGAGCAGGGAGCCCAACGCAGGACTCAATCCCAGGACCCCAAGATCATGACCTGAGCCGGAAGGCAGACACTTAACCGACTGAGCCACCCAGGTGCCCCAGTTGCTACAATTTTAACATGATGTGTAAGAAAACCCCCTACTTGCCTCATTTACCATTCTTATTCAAATTATCTTGGTTCTACCTATCTATAATCTTTGCTCCTAATTCCCCTGAAAATGAAACTGGCATGAGACAGTCACCAGATAAATGCTAAAGTCATATTTCTATATTCACGAAAGGCCCCATAATTCTGCAAATACAGGTCACAAATTTCTCCACCAGGGTACCAGGACTCTGCTATTTCCATAGATCAGGGAAACCGCTTTTCTGACTGCTTAGAGTGAAACACTCCTTGTCTTTCCACAAACCGCGTAAACAGCAGCTTCTATACTTCCATCAGTCTGATGGAAAGCATATAGGTGTTATTTACACAGCGCGTTGCCTCTTCAGACATCCCAGACACAGCTTCTAAGAGCGCGCTCCGTCGGCAAGCTTAAATTTCTTCACAAACCGGCTGATGACAATTACTGCTTCCCACTTGATTACAGTAATGGGTTTCAGCAAAATTAGTAAGCTGTCTCTTAGCAGGTGTGCCCGGAGCTGCACAATAGGTAACGGATCCAGTGATATTACTTTAGTTTTTAAATTTCAGCTTTTGCTTAAAAGACTTTAGGGACTGCATACATTTTTCAAGGCTGCTGATTACATTATTTTAAAACAAACCCAACCCTGCTCACACAACTTAAAACAAACCTCATTATTTATAAGGCAATATTTATGCCCAAAGGCACGTACCTGTTAAGCGACAGGACCTATAATAAAGACAAGCATCACTGAACACATATGCACAAATGTGCTATCGGGTCTAAAATACAAACCCAGTTGTTGCTTTGGGGGAGGTAAATACGTTTGAGCAACAAACTAAAATTAGAGGATACGGCTTACCCCAACTTTTTTTTTTATTATCCGAACTTATTTTTATAAAGCCTTTGATGAAGATACTTTAAAGATATTTGAAAAGCTATTTAACATCCCAAAGAGATTTTGGAAATTGAGAGGGCGCCTCAGAAATAGTTAACCAAGGGCAGGGATAAGCAAAGGGTCGTCTGGTGAAGGTGTGTTCCCAGTAGGGCGTGCGGCAATCCTACCCGGGCTAGTCCCACCCCGGCAAACTTCTTAAACACCCTGGAAGGCAACATACGTGGTAAAGTCATCAAGCGTCCACACGAGCCATGTCGTGGGCCCCAGCCGGCCGTGAGATGCCGGGATGGGGCGATCGCGGCAGCAGGTGGGCTGAGCGGGACGGCACCCCAGGGTGGGGGGCTCTGCTGGTCCCTGCCGCCTCACGAGCACCGGGGGGACTCCACCCCGAGGGGGTCTCCGAGGCTCGCTGTCCTTCTTCCTAGGTCTCCACGTGGCTCACACCCAGGCCTTTATCTTGGGACTCCTACCTCCCACCTCCCTTGCAGTGCAGGCATCCCTAGGCTGCAGAGCTGGCAGCCTTGCTTCTCTGAGCCACTGTGTTGGGCACACCGCACCCGGACATCACCCGCCCGCTCCTCTCCCGACTCAACAGCCTGCCCCTCGGTCCCGCCGCTTCCAGCTGGCACACCGGGGGGAAAAGCGTCACACAGAACGGACCCGTGGGCCTCTGAGTACTGAGTGGGACATAACGCCGCCAAGCGAAGTGAAGGGCTTGTGCGGTGCCCAGGGAGGCGGCTGGGACGAAGAACTCACCCTCGACGTCGAGAAGCCTGCCTAAAAATCTATCCCTGAGAGCAGCTCGCCAGGGCCAGTCCGGACTCTCCCGCCTCCATCCTTCCCAGCTTCACCTGACAATTCCCTAAAAAGGCAGCAGCGGCAGCGGGCCACCTAGCGGGGGCGGGCCCCAGAGGCCGCGTGCAAACGCCGCGGTCACTTTCCAGCCAAGCGGGTCTCTCCCTAGACATCGTTCCTCACAGCGGCGCCTGGGGACCGGCAGCAGCAGCAGCATTAACCGGGAGCTTGGGAGAAATGCGGTCTCTCCCCCCCCCCCCCAAACCTACCGAGCCAGAATCCGCATTTTAACCAGATCCCCAGGGGCTAGGAATATGCACGAGAAAGCGTGAGAGCGCCAGCTTAAAGCCCTCGGACCTTGGCAGTCTCTCTAACTTCTTTGGGAATTCAGGGGGGACAAAGGCGGCCACTGGCCTCTTAGGACAGCATGAGCGTCCCCCTCTCTACTCACTTATTGCGAGAATCAGTTCCCTCCTCTGGGCAAACCCAATGAGGCGCTCGGAGTCCCTGGAGACCACCACAGGGAAGCCGTTGTAGTCGGTCTCCTTGATGAGCGTCTCGACGTCCTCCACGGTCATGCTGTCCTGGGTGAGCACGGACAGAGGCGGCTCGCCCCGTCGTGGCCGCATGACGTCGGTGGCCAGCGTGCGGTGGGTGAACTCATCCTTCACGTCCAGAAACGGGTACCCGTTTAAGTGGATGTGAGCCTCGTAGATGCCTTCTTTCCCGAAGGCATCGGCCACCCACTTGCTGGTCACAGCTGCTGCCATCAGGGGCACAATGTACTCCAGACCGCCCGTTAATTCAAACATGATGACCACCAATGACACCGTCATCCGGGTAACTCCACCTGCAACCGAAGACAGGAATACAATTCTGAAACTCAACTCCAGACCCTCAAATGGGCATGAACTGTGGAAACGGACAAGCTGGCTCTAAATTCTCCAGACACCTGTTCTGAAGAGACGGTCCCACAGGTTGCCCATGGCAGACCTCTGGAACGCTGGCCGGGCTCTGCTGAATGCAGCCTTACCCCAGGGGCCGTAAGTCACATCTGACTGGGGGGCTCTTCTTCAGTGAGAAGACAACTGGGTTGTCTCTTCACCCAAGACCACAGGCCTGGCTTTTTGGTGAGTGGATCCTATGTGGGCTATGCAGGTTTCCGACACAGCAATCGTGGCTCTGTTCCAGAACCCCGTAAGCTGGGAAACTACAGAGATGCTTAGTGGTTATGGACAGGAGAGGGACCCAACTTTGTGTCCCTTGTTACTTAGAAGAAGAATCCATACCAACTCGTACTAGTCTTCCAATGAGCTTAACTGGAGTTTCTCGATCTCGGCACTAGGAACAATTGGGGCTGGATCATTCTTCGACGTGGAGGCTGTTCTGTGTACTACAGGATGTTTAGCAGCACCCCTGGCCACCACCCACTAGATGCCAGTAGCACCACCCCCGCAGGTGTGACAACCACAAATGTCTCCTCCGTTGTCCAGTGTTCCTGAGAGGCACAACTGCCCCCCGTTGAAACCGCTGTTCTGGATGGCCCAGCGGCAAGATGGTGGAGACTCCATCATCACCTGGGGCCCTGAATGACTGACTGGAGAAAAGCTCTCTACTAACTTACACTACACACACACATACACACACACACACGCACACACACACACAGAGCCAATTCTCATTATTCATGGTACTTATGATCTACAAAGTTGCCACAAACACTGAATGAGCAAATACTGAATCACTGCCCTGGGGGAAACACAAGGTTAGGTTCCTGCGAGCTTCTGCTCGCAACATGTTGGTCAACCAATCAATACAGAACCTTATTTCATGTGTATTTCTGTTTAAAGACACCTTATTTAATACATGTAGATGATTCATTAACGTGGAACTCACAGCCAACAGCACTGTAACTCCTGCCTGAGAAGACTTCTCCGACACACTTATTTTCTCTGTAAGACACATCCCAGCCTTCTTGTGTTTAGGATCCCCAGACAGACTTTAGCACTATGGTTGGGGGCCATTTAAAACAACAAAATCATTCACAAAATGCCAAAAAAACATGACACTAACTAGACCACGAAAAGGATACTTGTGTAGAGTATCCGCGCCAAAACAAGAGAGTGGGCCTTCACACCTCGTTCACCCGGAGCTGGGAACATACGCGCTAGACACCTCACACTTTCCACTGCTCTTGTGCGTGTCTGAGGATGACAGCCAACGCCCCACGAGTATTGACTTAGGGGTCACCAACACATTTTAGCACGTAGGCAAATCCCCAAATATGGGCTCCACGAATAATGAGAGCCGACCGCATATGATGAGCAAGCTCTAAGCCCTGGTGTGTTAAGCCACTGAGATTTAGCACCTTACCTGCGACAGCAACACAACCTGGCCTATCCTGAGAATGCCAGCACTCGAGCCCATGTCCTCCTTCTCACCGGTGCCCAAAGCCAGCACGGCATGGTGACTATGCTTGGCCTAGCTCAGCTTTCCTTGCGGCCCGGCCCGCCCCAGCCCGGCCCACCTGTGCCTGTACCTAGGCAGGCCGCAGCTCCCACCATGGCATAAAGTCCGGGGGTGACACAGTCTGCTCCGGGCCTGCACCAGTTCCTGAAGACGATCCAGTCATGGTGATGGTAAGCGAGCTGCTCCACGCCGATCCCCACCATCCTGCCCGCCATGGCTCCCACGGCCATGCTGGGGATGAAGAGGCCTGAGGGGATCTGCGGGGGCACACAGGGAAGAGAAGTATGAGGGAAGGTCCGCATGCCCGCTTCCCTGCTCCCGGTGAGCAGTCGTCCCCCCGGCAACACGCTCGCCCTGCACTTGTCTTCAGAGGAGGCGCAATGCTTCCAAACAGAGGTCCGCGGGGATAAAGCAGGACAAGTGGCTTCACCCGTTTAGTCAGTCCTAGCTACTGTGACTTGGACAGAATGCAGTTTTACACTTTTGTTTCCTCTCCTTCAAGAGTGGGCCTGGTTCTCCTGCTGGGGATTAAAGAATGAGAAGCCCCACTGCAAGTAACATTTGAAGTGTACTCACCACTTTCTCCCCTTGCGCATCATTCACATTAGCTTTTAAAATTCAATGTCAAGCCGCAGCATGAGAATGGAAAAGAAAGGCGTGCGACTGTTCACAAGTCAAACCAAGCAGCTCGGTGCCGCTGCCCAGCACCTTCGGAAGCTTCTCACGGGCTCATTGTCCCGGTGAGGATACAGTGGCCCGACACCTGCCAGAGAGACAGGGGCCGTTCCCTCTTCCTAACGAACTACTTTCCAAGAAGTATTCTGAATATTTTCATGCCCAGTGAAAGGCAGCAAAGAACTAGACTATGTAAACTAGAAGATCTTGGTGGCAGTGTGTATCACATTTTTGGTGTGGAAATGCACTTTCGTTTATCTAGTGATCGGACGTGGGCTAGAGAACGTGCCTGACTCTCCATGTTCATGGACACTGCAAGTGATCCCCAATCCTGCCTGGGAGTTGCCCAAGATAGTCATCGAGCTGAGGATGGAAGTGGATTTATAACCAAATTCCAGGTTAAGTTTGGATCCTCGAGGATGATTTCTAGACTTTGGGATGTTCCTGAAGAAGAAACTTCCTTTCTGAGTGCCCCCCCCACCCCCGATTCCTAGTCATTTAACTCCCTGTAACTGCAAAGTAAACTTCTCCCAGCAGGCACCAGAAGAGGCTGCTAGTATCTTCCTCAGACACACAAATAATCCCTTTGCTTGGAGACGGCAGATCGGAAATAGTTGGCTGTTTAATAAAGTCCACCCACCCCTGCTCCTAAGGCAAAAATTCAGGTTTGTGTTTGACCATTACACACTCAGGTACACAGCTTCTTAGCCTTTTTAAAATGAAACAAATCATAAAAGTCCCGCACAAAAAGCAACAGTAGGGGAACACTACAGGGGTTCTGCAGGGTTTGAAATGTTCTGCTTCGGCTCCTGGGTGCTCATTACACAAGCGTGCGTTTTATGAAAATTCCTCAAGCTACACACAGCTCTGTGTGGATGACATACTCTGAGCCTTCGCTTCTTCACTTGTAAAGTGATTACAATCTAGTTCTCAGGCGTGTTGCTTATCAAAAGCATTGCTTCTTGGTGATTAAAAAGAATGTCAAGTGCCCGGCACGAGAAAACGGTCAGTAAGGGTCAGTTGTTCCCCGCCCCCCCACTCCGGTCACCATTTTACCCTGGCAAGGAGGAGGAGATGAACTGTCCCCCCGCCCCACCCCCTCCTTCCCCTTCACTGACCTTCATGCCAAACGTAAAGATGGTAATGACGATTTTGAAGATCAGCGCCAGGGCCAGCTGCCACATGGCCGTGTAAACCCCGACGCCGGCCGGCCGGTCCGGAATGTCATCCACAGGCCGGGTCATGTTGGGGTCGTTGATGTAGTCACAGAGCTGGGAGGACTCGAGGGCGCCGCAGTCATTGAACAGCTCGGAAATGAGCTCGCTCGTGCTCTGGCGCGTGTAGGGGTTGGGGTAGGCGCTGATGGCGGTGATGGCGGTCACCACGATGACCTCCAGCACTGGGTACTTGCCCAGCTTGGTGGTTTTGCGCCTCCTGCACCAGGCGATGTTGCAGCGGATGAAGAGGGTTCCCCACAAGCCTCCGAAGACCCCAAGCAGGATGAAGGGGAAGAGCTCGGCCATGTACCAGGGCGTGTGGTATTCCACGTAAAAGAGAACGAGACGGCTGTTCCCAAAGGGATTGATGGATCGCAGCGTGAAGGCTGCCACCAGGGCCGCGAAAAAGGACCTCCACAAGGTCTTCAAGGGAAAGTAGTAACTGACCTGGGACGAACAAGGAGAAAATGAGACTGGCCGAAGAAAGGGCTGCCCTGAGCCCCCAGCCCCTGATCGGCAGCCACCCGGTGGGACAGTCACACGGACCAAAGATGGGCAGTACTGACTTCCTCAGGCTAGGGTTCATTATCACCAAGAGGCAACAACGAAGTATTTAAAGGACTCAGTGTCTAAAAGTGGAACAGATACTAGTCAAGATGTGTCTGAGCTATTTTTTAAGAGAAATGAAAATACTTCATCCTAATTCTGTTTATGTCACAAAGACCCTCTTAAAATCAAATAAACCTCTGGATCTGATTCTACAGACAACGGAATAGGTCAAGGGTTGGAAAACCCTGGCCCGGCAAATGTATTTGTATGGCCCATGAGTTAAGAATGGATTTTTACGTTTTTAAATGCTGGGGGTCAAAAAGAAATATTTTGTAATATTCAACATATTCAAAAGAAAAGCAATATTTTGGGGTGCCTGGGTGGCTCAGTCGGTTCGGCATCTGCCTTCGGCTCAGGTCATGATCCCAGGGTCCTGGGATCGAGTCCCGCATCGGGCTCCCTGCTCCGCGGGAAGCCTGCTTCTCCCTCTGACTCTCCCCCTGCTTGTGTTCCCTCTCTCGCTGTGTCTCTCTCTGTCGAATAAATAAAATCTTTAAAAAAAAAAAGAAAAGCAATGTTTTGTGACATGTGAAAATTATATAAGATGCACACTCCAGCATCCACAAGGAAAGTTTTATTGGAATGGGGCCATGCCCACTCATGTGAGTGTTGTGTGTGGCGGCTTTCCCACTATAATGACAAAGCTGAGTAGTTCCAACCGAGACCGGAAGACCCACAGAGCCTAGAATATTTACTCTCTGGCCCTTTGCAGAGAACATTTGCTGACCCCTGGAATAGATCCATTCGGGTTGCCAAAAACAGAAATGCCTCATTAAGTTAGGAGAAAGAGAGACTGCAAAATTAAAAAAAAAAATTGGCAATTTTTAAAATAATACTTGAAAACATATTTAACAGCAAAAACTGTGGCTTCTTAATGAGCTGCAGGAATCTTGTCAATACTCCTTCGAATGCAGTCCTCAAAGGGTTGGAGATGGAGGTCTCCCGCTGTGCTAGCCATCGACATGTTCCTCAGCCCCCGGAACCACAAATCCGTCCCCCCACCCGCCACCCCTCCTCACCTCCTCAAGACTGAAGAGCACACCCCCGATTGGAGCCCCAAAGGCCACGGAGACTCCGGCAGCGGCGGCGGCAGAGAGCACCTGCGAGGCAAAGAGCTCTGTGTAAGCCCCCAGCCCTGCCATGCAAACCTGCAATGCAGGTGAGCCGGGACAGGGCTTCCAGAAGAGGCCATCACTGCAGATCGGAGTGGAGCCTGCTCACCTCGCGCCTCTTGCCCTCGTTCTTGCTGTACTTGGAGAAAAGGCTGCTGAAGAAGTTGCCACAGCAGCAAGCCACGTGCACCAGCGGCCCTTCTTTCCCCAGGCTCAGGCCGGAGGACACCACCAGCACCAGGGTGACGGTCTTGATCAGCAGGGTCCACTTCCCCAAGTAGCCCCTGATGATAAAGCCGCTCAAAATGGTCTTTATCTGAAACAGAGGATGGAGAACGAGGGTGAGTGAGCTGCTGTGAAGCCGCAGCGAGGGAAGTAACTAATTCCCCAGCACTAGACTCACTTGATCATACCAAGGAGAAGCTACTTTAGTTTTGGATTTGACTATAATTTCATATTAACAGAATTTATAACATATAATTTTATATTAATGTTAACTTGAAACCATTCGATGCATAGCACATCTTAAGAATTTCTAAAGTAGGGGCGCCTGGGTGGCTCAGATGGTTAAGCGTCTGCCTTCGGCTCAGGTCATGATCCCAGGGTGGTGAGATCAAGCCCCACATCGGGCTCTGCGCTCAGCGTGGAGTCTGCTTGTTCCCCTCCTCTGCTCCTCTGCTCGCTTGTGTTCTTTCTCTCTCTCAAATAAATAAATAAACTTTAAAAAAAAAAAAAGAATTTCTAAAGTAGGGGCGCCTGAGTGGTGCAGTCGGTTAAGCATCCGACTCTTGGTTTCAGCTCAGGTCCTGATCTCAGGTTCATGATCGTCAGGCTCCATGCTCAGTGCAGAGTCTGCTTAAGACTCTCTCTCCCTCTGCCCTTCCCACCACCACCCCCCGCCGCACTCTCTCTCTCACACACACACACACAAATAAAGAAATCTTTAAAAGAAAAAAAAAAGAACTTAAAAAAAAAAAGAATTTCTGAAGTAATAAGAGATCATAATGAGGACTGAAGAAGTAATTATCAGGGTCTCATTTTCTTTATGGCATTTTATCCTGTTCATGTTACCCTCTGTTGTGTTGAAGAGAAACATGTATCTGTTGATTTTAACTGTTAATTTTTGATTATCGAGGGAAGTTCAAGATAAAGAGACAGAAAGCTGGCGAGCTCTGTGACAAAGCAAATAGAACAAAAGGTCAACTCAGCTGTAGGTCGGGGTCGGCAAACTATGGCCCGTGGGCCAAATCCAGTCCACTGCCTGCTTTTGTATGACCCACGAATTAAGGGTGCTTTTAACATTTTTTAAATGTAGTTTATAAACAAGACTACTAGTCTTTTACTGAGAATAGTTGCTAGATTTTGCCTCTCGGCTCACAAAGCCTAAAATAGTGACTCCCTGCCCTTTACTGGAAAAGTCTGCTGACCCCTGCTGCAGGCCAGGGGTATGGGAGTTTACTGCGCAATTATTTCAACTTTTCTGTAGGCTTGAAAATATTCTTAACACGATGTTGGAAAAAGAAGAGGCTCAACATTCTAATAACACATCTCCAGGGGATGTAAAGATGATTGACGCCAGGACAACTCCTTCCCTTCCATTGAATCCTGCCCTCTGGTATTGAGAAGGACTTTGACTACAGGTAGAGTCGTCTTGCTCCATTTTCAGATCTGCCACATTTTGTAAAGGCCAAAAAAGGCAAATAATGGCTTTCTTCCTAATGGTGCAGTCCGCCTTACGCTTTTAGAATTCAACTGGGTGCCAATCTCAGTGATGAATTTCATATACTGGAGTCCTCTTTACCTAAAACCCCTATCTTTGGATACAGAAGTATCACCAATGGGTAATTTTTTACCTTCAACCTCTCCCAACAACTAGCTGAAATGGAGTGAATGTTCACTGTGTGAGCTGGCAATTTACAAGCCTATGATGAGTGAGTCAGCCAATGAAATCTGTGGTCAATTTCGGTTTTCCCGCTGCATAACACACAATGGGACAAGGTTATCTCTTGTCAGTGTCAGGATATTTGCATATCTTCAAAGTGCCTCCTAGTGGACACTGCTCTGCCCAGAAATCAATGTCTCAAAAAGCTATTACAGGTCATATGACACGTATGACCTCACTAATATGAGGAATTCTTAATCTCAGGAAACAAACTGAGGGTTGCTGGAGTGGGGGGTGCGGTGGGAGGGATGGGGTGGCTGGGTGATAGACACTGGGGAGGGTATGTGCTATGATGAGTGCTGTGAATTGTGCAAGACTGTTGAATC